TATGCAGGATTCTCTGTGCCAAGTTAGACACCGTGTCCTTCGGAAAGCAGAGTATTTTGGTATTCTTACTGCACATACTTCTTACATCATGAACAGCAGCAGAGTCACCCACAATCAGAGTTTGAGGCCCAGTCATTAGCTTTCCCTGCAGCCTTTTACTTTCTGATTTACTCTGTCCTTACCCTTCTGTGTGAGGACGGGAGGTTATCCAGGTCATCAGACAGAGATCCAGGGTCCTGCAATAGTGGTGAAAATCTGTTCTGCTGTTGCTAACTCTCCCTTTCGCAGCTGTCCACGGTTGTGTCCTACCAAGAACAGGGGTTGAAGAGGTGCTCTGCCTGGATGATAATGCAGGCCAGCCAGTCACATCACAAATCTCAGCAGCTAAAGCGGGAGACCCCACGGGGTTTAAGAAGTTTTATACATCCAAAGAACTTCCATAAAAACCAGACCAGGTATTTAATGGAGACCTGCATTTATTTTTCGAAATGTGTTCCCACACCAGGCCAGGAAACGGGGTAGGCGGCTATTTGGGACTCGGCTATTAATTGTTTTACGGTAAGCTAGTCCTTGATGTTACAGTAGTAGTACAACAAAGATTATAGTTTGGTATTTATTTTATTTTTTTTATCTGGGCTACTTCAAATTGTCAGGTGAGCGCAGAGGAGAGTTAGAGACCAAATGCAAGACACCAGAGCAGAGATTCAGTTAAGGGGTTTTAATCCACAAAATCAAGATGGCTTACAGGTTGGAGGAATGCAAAAATCCCCCAAAAATGTCAGAAAACTCTGAATCAGGCAGCGCACTCAATGCACAACACAACAGAGTGTATTCACACTACAACGACCAGACAGAGACTGAACAGAAACACCCAGCTAAATACACAGGGACTAACGAGCAGGGCGGGAGCAACACAGGTGACAGGGATCAAGGTTAACGAGGCAGGCAGAGAGACAGCTGGGAAAACAGAGAGACAGGCAGGTAGAGTGATAACTGGGGCAACAGACATAACCTAGGTTACTGGACGCTAAACACAGACATAAACTAAGACACAGAACAGAAAAGATACATGACAAACGGGTACAAGGTGAGCTAAACAGAGCCTGCGAATGAACGATGAAATAAACAAGGCTAAAGAGAGAACACAAGACAAGGAACAAACAGAAAACATGGACCAACTGTTACACAGACCGGGGTAGGGAACTTAAACGATTTTTTTTATTTTTATTTGTACTTCTGTCCTTGTACTGCGGGAACACCTGAATTTCTCCTCTGGGGATCAACGAAGGCTTATTTTATCTTACTGTATCTCTTAAATGTATAACAAGTGAGACTATTTTCCACTTCTTGAATTTATACTTGGATTAGGGATGCATACATTTGGAGTGCACACGTATTCAAGTCTTTAAGGTAAATCCACTAAACCGGCCCAGAGCGAGCTGACAGGCAGGTTAGAGACGGTCAGTTTGTCTCTTTACAAAGACAAGTGTTGCAGTATGAGAGTCTGACCTGAAGAGAGGTCATGAAGTCTTCATGTTACGCCGTACGAACTGGGTCGGACTGGATGAATTTAGCACGAGGAGGAAACACGTGACAACGTCCGGTTTTCAAAATAAGGTTTCTATACAGCATGGAAATAATATTGATGGGATTATATTCACCATAGTTTCTCCAAACCCTGTGGGAAACACTGAGGAAAAAAGGACATTTTGACTATTTAATGTACTTATTCGGTTTTTGGCAAATTCTTTCATTATATTCGGTTTGGGCTTCGGCCAAGAATTTTCATGTTGGTACATCCCTAACTTGGATGGCTGTGGCAAAGGGGATAGAGAGGTCGTTCACTCATAAGAAGGTCTGTGGGGCATGCCCTTTTTATAAGAAATGGGCAAGATACTGAACCACCAACTCTGCCATTAGTGTATGAATGGTTGAATATGACGTAGTGTAAAAGTGCTTTGAGTGGTCGGAAGACTACAAAGGCGCTATACAAATACAGACCATTTACCACAGGAAGCAGCATATCACATATCAGGTCATAACTTGCTTCTAACTGCCCAGGGCTCTTCAGTGTGAGTATTTCACTTGCAATTGCCCCTAAAAATAAATCTGCAAACTGGAAAAATAATTTATGATCAAAGTAAAGATTACAATCACTGTAATCATTAATAAGAGGTTGGCATGCAACAGTAAACCTTTGAAATGTTGAACCCATTGTTATGCATGAATGGTTTTATGGTTTAAAATTAGAACCTAACCACAATGTAGACCATTTCAGTCTTGCACAAGGATTGAATGAAACAACCCACAAAGAAGTAAATACTGTATTGTCCAACTGGAATGGAAATCATTCTAGTGGTAAGCTATATAGTATACTATTATAAATTTATGATGGATATAGTAACATAATGTTATATTGTACTATCAATATACTGTTGTATTAACATTATACTTTATTTAATGTTATTAATATATTCAATAACATACCACAAGCCGCAATGCACCAGTTACAGTAGAGTTTTCTGTGACGAGTGTTTTAAAAAGTTGTGTCCATGTTTTAGGCGTTTTTCAATGGGTTAAAAGTTTTTAAAATATCAGCTTCAATGTTTTAAAAAACTTTGACAGTATTGTAAGGCCTCTGCCGAGTGTTCGGTTACTAGGGTCTACACTTCTCTAGCCCTGCATTGGTTTTCACATCATACTTGCACACAAGGAGAACACACACACACACACACACACACACACACACACACACACTTGTGGTAATTGTTTGTTAATAAACTTTGTTCTTGAACATTTTTCCCTGTGCTCCTTAATTTCTTTGTGTGCTCCAAAAGTTTTAATGTCAGAGCACATGTAAGTACCCCTTAGGGGAAAAAGGTTAGCGTAGAGCCTTGCTGCCATTTGCTAGTTAGCTCAGGTAGCCGTGCAGATAACTTAACAATTGTATTTGCAAGCGGGAAATGGAACTGGGCTCAGCAGCCTCCCAGTAAACTGGGACCAAACAGCCTTCGAAACCGACAGAGGCCAGTTTGATGACAGCGAATGCAAGGAAACCAAGCCAGGAGAGAAGGAAATATGTTATATGAGACATGAGACGTCCTTTCCTCCGAAGCTGTTTCTGAAGACGGCGGCAGCTTTTGATGGAGTTTGTGTCTGCACACGTGCACTGTTCTAATACTAATGAAGTCTCAGTCATCAATGCAGATGATTCTCTCTGTAGCTTTTACCTGTTCAACAAATACCTGCACATGAATAATTATAGTTTACTGTAGGCCTATGTCCTGCTACTGGCACAATGCTGATATTATCTGCAGTTATATTTATTGATTCTGAATGTAAATGAAAGTCACATCACTCATCACCGATCGATCACTGCGTTCCATTAAAGCAATCGAACGCTTTTTTTTCATCAGCTTTTCTTTCATTCATTCTTTCAATCAGCTGATACTGATTACTCGCGGAGCTGCCGGCTGCTTTCTTCAGATGCAGTCGGTGAGCTCGGCTGGATGAGCGGATTTATTTTCCTTTGCTTGCTTCATTAGAGACTTTAGTGCAGTTTATCGACTTGTCCGGCTAATAACTTGTTTAATATGTTTTATTGTTGTCTATTGGACTAAACACAGAAATGAGCAGCCTCACATGTGACTGAAAAGGAGATGATAAATGATGTAAAACATGTTTCTTGCTGACAGATTCTGACTCTCTCTGACTTTAATTGTCTCCATAATAAAAGTTGATGGGGGAAATAAAAGAAAAATAAAATCATTCTAATAGAAGAAGGCCAGGGTCACGACTGGGGGTTTGTGACATTTTAAACACTGCAGCAACACGACCACAGACAGCAGCTGGATAGCACTTTGTGTACAAACATTTCTATGAGAAATAAGTACACAGAAGTGCTAATAAACAGTATAAACTAGAGCTTTCACTAACTGTTGATACCCCAACAGTCATCTTAGATCACAAAGTCGGGGCAGTGCGGTTCTCCTGACTTCCCAAGTCGGAAATCCGACTTAAGGGGGCCTTCCCTTCCCATGTCAAATGGAGCGCACAATTAAATGTGAGTAGGAGCTGTAATGTGTGTGTGCGTTAACAGCGACGTGATCGATGTTTAAGGTATTTTTTCACTTGCGCTGTCACCTTATCTGGTTCTCTCCATTACAGAGGATAATTTTTATGCTACACTTTAAACATTTTATTACGATTTATTACCGTACTGTTGCTGTTTTTCGAAGAATCACACGTCTTTATTCTTTAAACTTGAATCCAGAAGGTGTGCGGTTGTATTATTCTGTTCTGACATGGAAAATAGAAGTAAGAATATTTCCTTTCTTGATATTTTGTTAACTTATCAGACTAGCATAATGTAGAAAACAGCCTGAGCTATACTAACGGACTATTGCCTCTTGTGGAACAATGTGGTATTACAAGACAGACTGCGTCTTGCTCCTTAGCATGATAACATCAGAACTGTTCACATTCTGTTGATAGTTAATGTTTGGCTGGCTGTATAGACTTAGAGTTTCTGGTGGTTGACCACCCTGTAAAAGCTGGCTGACCATCTTGACCAACAAAATAAGAGCATAAACTATCACTGGGTTTAAAATGGTGTTTGTCAACAGCCCTAAATAAGTAAATAATGTCTCAATCTATATTGTGAATTCTACATTTCCACTTGTAACCCACAATGTCAGAAGTAAAAGCAGAGATAACATTTAACAGTCCAAAACAACCATATACAAGTATAATCGAAATATTTTGTACAGCCTACACATGTAAATATCGCCCTAATGTTTAACATGTCTTTCGTCCTCCACAACGTCTGTCGTGCGTCCTTGGAAAACCCCTGCTGGCAGGTTGATTTGTATTCTCATCATCCAGACAGACAGACTGTCGGCTGGGTGTCACGAAACGCTCCTTCTCCTGTGATGAGAAAGGAAGGGAGGGACTGGATGAAGGAGAAGAGAGAGAGAGAGAGAGAGAGAGATTGGGAGGAGCCAGGCTGCCAAGGTGAACCGATCAACCTCTTTATTAGACATCCAAGGCACGACGCGCAGCTCCCGGCGGCACCGCGCAGGGAGGAGAGAAAGAGAGAGAGAGCGGAGGAGCTTACATCCTTTAACAGGAGATAATCTAATCGTTAGAAAGTGTTTTTTTTAACACTAATTTGTTTTGTTATTTCAAAAAAAAGGACTGAAAACTTACAGGCTAAATGGCACGGAGCGAGCTGAGTGCGTCATTTCGCCGGAGACACCAGAGGAATTGAAGGTGAGTTTTTCATCAATCACATTCAAACAGGGACCTGGAGTGTGTGTTTGGAGAAATAACCTGTGAGTTTACAGCGACGTGATTGTTATTTAAGGTATTGTATCACCTGCACTGTCACCTTATCTGGTGATATCCACGTAGAGAGGATGTCTTAGGCTACACTTTAAACATTTGATTGCAATTTATCGGCATACTGTTGCTGTTTTTCGAAGAATGACACGTCTTTATTCTCAGTCTCAGGATGAGAAACCCCCCCGCTGTTTCTCCCATAGAGGAAATTAAAGAAGGGACATTTTTTGAAGCAGCAGTGCGTCTGAGCGGTTGCGTAATGTAGGAGTCGTTCAGCGTGTTTTGGGTGACCTGACACCGAGATGATTCAGTTTCATTATTATTAAAAGACACGGAGCTGCTGAAACAGACTCTCCGTGTTTATTTTCTAGCAGTGAAGTGGGATACAGCCTGTCAAAACACAAGGACTTTTTGGTTTTGTTGGCAGCAGCTGTGCAGTTTATAATTTTCTGTAGCAACAGATAAGGACATGCAGGGGGCCCCAAACACCCATTAGTCCCTGGAGATGTTGCCATGTAGATAATTTGCAGCTGAAGTGGGTGACAGAATAAATCACTGTGTCTTAGACAAATCCCTTTATAAAATGTAATACACCAAAAACTGACTTCAAGTAGACCCTGGACCACCAGGTGGATATTTCATATTTAGCCCATTCAGTATTTCCCCACTAACTTGGTGGGCTTACACTTTTTATTTCTATTCTAATAAGTGTTTATCAATTTCTTATAAAAAGGACATGTCACTCTGTATTTTCACATTTAGCATTTTAGACATTTTGCTAATATGACTCAGTGTGTAAGCAGACCAGTGCCTTGCTTAAGGGCACTTTGGCAGCATGACGTGTTGCCAAGGACAAGACAACACATGATAGTGGAAGTGGCAGTGAAGAGGTGTTGCTTAAGGCTTTGAACATGTGTTAGTCATATTTACACATAGGACACACTACCAAAACAAAAGCTTTCATTTGCGGGTGTTAACATTCACATTGTTGACTCAACTCAAATAGGCTCAATTTCAATTTTATTTATATAGCGCCAGATCACAACAACAGTTATCTCAGAGCGCTTTTCATAAAAGAGCAGGTCTAGACCGTACTCTATGATGTTATTTACAGAAGCCCAACAGTTCCCACCAAGAGCAAGCACTAGGCGACAGAGGCAAGGAAAAACGTCCTTTTAAGAGGCAGAAACCTCGAGCAGAACCATGGCTCAGGGTGGGCGGCCATCTGCCTCGACCGGTTGGGGGTGAAGGAGAGAGAGAGAGGGGAGGGAGGCAGCCTACACATTATCCACACAGAGGTACAGACAGTAAAGGTGATGTGGCTATAGACTGAATGAAAAATGGTACAGATATTTATAGTAGTGTTAATGATAAATCAAAATAATGAAGATAATAATAATAATAACGATCCCCACGACCCTGTACGCAGGATAAGCGGTTGACGATGGATAGAATAATAACGATAGGACTAGTAACAATAGTCGTTGCAGTAGAGGGTGTCGAGCAGGAACACGGGGGCAGCAGGTGACCCGCAGCCACAGATCCAGACTCCACAGCTCCAGAGCCAGAAACACCTGCAGGAAGTGATAGGAGGAGAGAGGAGAGGGACGAGAAAGCACAAGACTACCAGAAAGGGGAGAAGTCAAGAGGAGGGAAACAAACTTCTTAGCCATGCTTGCAGGGTCTGTCATTCCAGACAGAAATATCTCAACAAGTACTAGAAGGATAGCCAAGAAGTTTGGTTCCCAGAGGAAGAATTCTAAAAAACATTTAATTTAGCCATCATCAGGTCAGAATGATTTAAATGGGCGATCCAGACCGGTCGGAACAGGGAAATTTCCAAGTTGAAATATTCTACTTCCGACCTCAAAGCCTGTCAGTTGCTTGACGCCAAATGTAAACAATAAACATGGCTGACCGTGACAAACGTAAGTTTCTTTGTCAAATTTATGCACAGTTAAACCCTCAGCAGTGCACTTGGCATAGGTGTCATTTATACAGGGGACGCTGGGGACATGTCCCCATCACTTTTTGGAAGTGTTTGTTAAAATGGTTCTAGCTTGCAACAAGAAATGTTAAATAACAAATGAGAGTGCTTTGAGAAAGGTTTATTTGCACAATAAGAAACATGTAATGCAAATATCTAAGAAACAAATGTGCATTGTCCAAGAAAGTAACTTTTATTTTTTTATTTTGTCACCTTACACCTGAATTTTGTGTTGACCTTATATGTATATATATATATATATATATATATATATATATATATATATATATACATACACACATACATACACACACACACACACACACACACACACACACACACACACACACACACACACACAAATTGAATTGCAAAACTAACCACGGCAGCTTTGTGTTTACTGCAAATTAGCAAAGGTTACTATGCTAACATGCTAAACTTTGACAGTGAACATAGTAGGAGTGATATCTGCTAAACTAGGGTGACCATATGTCCTCTTTTCCCCCAGACATGTCCTCTTTTAGGGGCCTGAAAAATACTTAAGGCCGGGATTTCTAAATCGTGTGAAGCAGAATGCATGGCCTGCAAAGCTGCTATGTATGTGTCAGTGTCACATAAAGGTGCTAGCAATCTAGAAGCCCACGTAGGCCCTATTAAAGATAAATGCCCCCCGCCGACATAAACATAGCCACCATGCCACCAATTAACCTTCCACCCACAGCAGGTGCACCGTCTGCCTCCTGCCCCCACTGTCCTCTTTTTTGGAAACTAAAACATGGTCACCCTAGCTAAACACAATCACGTTAACATCGTTAGCTGAAGGTAGCACTTCAATCAAGGCAATGGCGTGCCTTCATAAAGCCTTGTCTGTTATCTCTTAATCTCGTTAACAGAAAGAAAGAAGCGTTGGAAAGACATGCTGGTCAAATTTAACAAAAAGAAGAGAGGACACCGTAACTAGTCACACAAAAACCACCAAACAACAAGGAAAAACTAAATGTTGTAAAAAGAAACAAAGCCGTGAAAACATGATTGGACCCATCTTTGCAAAACTAGGTGGCTGCATCAAGAAACAAGAAGCAGCAAAGTCACAACAACCTGATGAGTTTGCTACTTTTCCTTATATAGACTTGCACAATGAGGCCAGATTAGAAACACTTGAAGAGGAAGGACGATGAGATTAGAAGAAATGCTACACAGGACCAACAGGGGGAGCCGTTTTAGAGGACAGAAAGTAACTGAATAACAAATACATACATACAACAAAGAATAAAGAATAAAGTAAGTAAGAACTGCTCCTTTACTGTGTGAAAGGTCAGAGAGATCTTTGTGAAACAAGTGTGTTGTAGAGTTTCAAAGAATGCAAACCAGGAAAAACAACTTAAAAAGTTTGTGATTTTAAGATCTGACAGCGGGCTCACGTTGATCCAGGGGCCATGTGGGTTTTCCGCTCTTAGTGAAATGTGATGACAGACATGCTGCTTTTCTGAAACCTCAGAGGAGGTAAAGTGGCCTGCCGTGGCCCGGAGAGTGTCCTTGAAGCAAAACATTGAATCCTCACATGTTCAGCTGCTGGATAAAGAGATTAGCCTGAAACTGGACAGTCACAGATTCTATAATTCAATTCAATTCAAATAAGCTTTATTGGCATGAATGTGTAACAACAATATATGTATGTATGTATGTATGTGTATATATATATATATCCCTGTCAAAGTGTGTGGGAGGAGGACATTTTCGTTTTTACAGGATAATTGAAGATTCAGGTGGCACTTTTAAGTTTATTTCTTTGATTACTAATCATAAAAACTGTACAGTACACAACGTACCATTTCCAAAAATTGGACCATAAGATTAAGATTTTGACATCTTCCAAATTTAGTGTTTATGATGATTTTTAGAGCTGCACCAAGTAGTCCACTAATTGAATATTTCTGAAAATAGATTCATTGGTTAGGGTTTTTCTAAAGCATTTGATAACATTAGGTTAAAATGGGAGGATCTTCTTCCTGTCCTCGTGTGCAACGTAATATTTCTGAGGATCTATCGACAGAAATGCAACATAAGATCAATAACTGTTTTCAGTGGTGTGTAAAGACTTTGCATAATAAACCATTGTGTTTTTATTACCATAGATTGAGACGTCACCACGTTGCATCGCCATGTTTCTACAGTAGCTGAAAACAGACAAACAGCGCTACAGAGCGCGTTTCGTCGCTACGTTTTTCTTGTTCTGCTTCTGGTAGAATTCAGGCAGTGCAGACACTCATCATTGTGTTGAATTTGTACGTTAAAAGAAGACCCCTAAGGCTTGAGGGTTCAATCCCACCTTGGGATAACTTGTTGTTTTGTTTTTTCCCCCTCTCTTCAACAAATAGATTCTGCAGCGAATGTTTCTGAGATCACGGCATGTGCTGCACTGTTTTAGTTTTGGTTTTTGATCCTCATCCATCAACCTAAGGACGCTTTTGCATTTCCCCAGGAAATAATGAACTGTGGTGCAGAAACAGTGACAGTGTTTCACACTCTTGGCTTACATTTTCCACGTGGTCTGTCAGTGGCAAAGTCACTATAACATGATTTTATTGAATAATTAAGTAAATATACTTTGTTAATAAATATACCTAAAGAAACCTCATTTCTTGACTGGCCACTCTCTGCTGTCTCAGAAGAGAAACCTTTTGTTCTATGTCAGCCACCGTAGCTGTCCTACGCTCTTTGAAAGGTAAGGGGGGCAGTGGTAGACTGGACAGATGGTTGCAATTCATAACCCTCACCACTAGATGTCACTAAATCTTACACACTGAACCTTTAAATTGAATACCGTTGGGCTCTTTTTCAGAGTTTTCCTATGCAGGTGGATTTAATTGTACCTTATCTTTTGAATATCTGCTCAAATCACATAGATCCTATCATGAAATCCTGTAGCTGGTCTATTCTGCTTTCACAACGAAGCGTACCTTACTTTTCAGCTGGCCTCAGTTCGTTTGATAGGTCCACACCAAACAGGTTAGGTGTGAAATTTAGTTGTTGCAGATCCCTGATTTGTTTGTATGGCTCACACACATTCACATCCTGCCATTCTGCTGATGGCCAGTCGGTGGGGTTAATGTGCTAACAATGAAGCAGTGAAGAAGAAGACTGCTAGATTGTAAACATGAACATAAACAATGCACAATTAAAAAAATAAAGGGTGGGTTATGTTATCACTATATAAATAAACATTATTTAATTGATATATATCACGATAAAAAATGTCTGATCTATGATCCTGATAGGCTGCCCTGAATATTTTGCTAGTCTGCATAATTTAGCCTAGTGGCTAGCAGCCTTTCCACTATGATTGACTTTCAGCATTACGTAACGAGTTGTCGTCAGCTGGAGCGATGTTTACTTCTTCTCTGTGTGTGCTGAGCACCGGCCAACCCAACTCTGCATATGTTTTGTGAGGAAGGAAATGCATTCAACATGTTCCTTAAGGTGAAAGCATTTCAGTGAGTAACTTTAATTAATTAAAATAAATTGTTTGTTTGTTTACAAGGCCAATTTTTGTTCTTTTGGGTCATTCAGGAAGATAAGAATGGGCTGATGACTTATTTTCTTTTTTCCTACAGTTTTATGATAAAACGTGTAACTGGTAAAGCACTTTGAACTGCTTGTGTTTGGGATTGTGCTCTGGAAGTAAACAAACTTAAACTTGAACTCGTAATTTGGTTAGGTTTAGGAAAAGATCATGGTTTGGGTTAAAATAAATACATTATGTAAGTCACGTGACGTAAGCTATCTACAAAACATTAAATAATTTAAAACATGTCTACTTTGACTCGAACCTGAGTTTACTTGACTCATCCATCCACCCCACCACCTTCTTACATGGTCTTTGACGCTCTTTATACTACATCTTCTTCTGCCACTAGAGATCGTGGCCTAATTAAAAACGTAAATATGGGTTGTAATTAGCTGCCGCTTAATCAACTTATATGGCTGTTTTGGTGTGGACGGGCTGTTGTTGCGCTGTCTATGGATAAAAAGCCCCAAGTGGCTTGTATTATACTGCAACATGCCTTTTAGATGTTTTAATCATATAATGTCCTTCACTATTACTGCCTTCATATTTTGCCTATTCACATTTATTGTCTGCCAGTTCTAAAAGTTCAAATTCAGATCATTCATACATTCCTCTGGTGTCCTTTAAATTGGAGAGAGGTCCGTTTTATTTCAGACTGTTGTGCATAAGAGAGGAAGATAAAAGACAAGAGAGGGATATAAATAGTGTGAGTATGTACTGTAAGTGTGTGCGGTTGTTCATGTGTGGGTGTGGAGGTTGAGGTCTGAGTATCGCTGAATGCTCCTCTTTGATGGCTGGATCGGACAGGCAGGAAGCGTGGGGTGTAAACAAAAGATCTCAGTGCTCACAGTTTGAAATACCAGCGGCTGTGCAACCTCACCAAGGCCCTCTGTTGATGAATCACCTCTGCTGAACAATTTCAAATTACAATAAACATAGGGGTGTGATTCCCAAACATTATATGGCAGCGGAAGATGAAAAAACATCACATAGCTACTCGAGTCGTGCTGTAAATGAAACTGTAAAACAGTACCCAGTTAAAAAAAGAACAGCACGAGAAAATTCACAAAGGACAGAACATTTTTGAAAATGCCATGTTTTTAGGTGACTCAGTAGCGATAGAATGAGATGCAGCTGCCGATGGGATGGGATGCCGATGGGAAAAACAAAAATTCCTCTCTTGTGATTTTACCATCACTGACAGCTGGAAGAACCACGACTAGTGGACAAAGACTCATTGAGGGTAGCTCCCAAAAGGTGATGTAGAGACAATCAAATTTAAATTGTTATTCACATTTCAATCTGGAGAGTCTCATCATAGAGGGTATGAAATGTTGTGCCTCACAGAACCCCTAGCATGGCTCTCAGTCTTGTTTAAACTAAGGGGGCTTTCACACCTGAAAGTCCGCACCGAGGTCCGAACCAAAGTTCATGCTTTGATACATTTTGATCAATTCAGTTAGTTTTGGTTTGGTTTCACTGCAATTCTGCGACCGCACTGAAGGACTTTACATGACAGACCTGCGTCCTGTCGTCATCATCGATGTGGGCTGCGTCTCCCTGTACTTGACATTGATTGGTTTATTAAACAGTTCAATGGGTATCTTTGACAAGAATGAATGAATAAAAAATGAACATATGCATGTTTGCCACCACTATATTGTTATTATTATGGCATTACTACCTGCAGCACCAACTATACTGAAGGCTTGTCGCAATTAAACGTCCTCGTAGTGTGGACATTATAACGTTGCCCACAGGACAGGAGGAGAAGACGATCCTTTTGCATCTCCGTTTCAGGAGAGATGCAGGAGAATTCAATGCATTTCTCCGTGCATTTGTTTGTTTCCGGTTTAGACCGCAAACGCCAAAATTCCTGTAAATAGTCTGAAAGTCCGAACCATCCAAAAAATGCTTTCACACCAGAACCTAACCGTGGTTCAGTTTGATCCAAACCCTTTTCGTCTTTTCGTCGGACAAAATATCGTCTGTTTGGTCCGGACCAAATTGAAAAGTCCGAAAGTCCGGACCAAATGAGATGCTGCACCAGACTTCATGTTAAAGAAGTGAAGTTTTAGGGGGTTTCACACCTAACATTTCGCTTAATAAATGTCAAAAATACTTCACTAAAACTTTCTATTCTTAACCTCCCAACCACTATTGTAAAGCATTTGTCAGCAGAAATCTTCAGACAGTTTCTGAGTGTCACCTCACAAGATGGGGGTCAGCGGTCTAATTAATGGTCTGTTTGGGGTCGTTGATATGAGAAACATGAGGACCTTCTCTTTCTTCATCTTCTCCACCACCGGATCCCATGTGATTTTACTGGAAGTCTGAAGGAACAAAACATCTTGGTGTCCATAGGAGTGTCTGTATCCTCGATGGGAATGACATGTTTTGTTCCTGTCACTGCAGTGAGGGATAAACACAATCATTTTGCAAACTCAGTGTTGGTCCAGCTAAAATCTTGCAGACATCAGCTGCTAATCAAGATGCAGAAATCCCACTCAGACGTAGCAAATGAAAAAACCATAAACAATGAATCTAACCTTGAATCTAAGATATAATGTTTAATTTCATTTCATTTACTGTTTATTTGACAAGGACAGTGCACAATTAAAACAATTGCACCAGAGTTAGCTAACAGCTAATTTGCATCTGTTATCCATGGGCAGGTAGACAAAACAAAAGACACAAAGCAACCACTAAACAGCAAATACAATACATAAAATTACAAAATACATATTATCCATCAATTCAAAATTTATAAAAACTGAAAATACAGAAAATACAATGCAATGTATATTGTGCTGATTTTAGCCAAAGTTTGAAGCTGGCTTTTTTTTCCTGGTACTTTTAAAATTTGTTTGTAAAGTGAATACATAGGCTTGAGCGTAGTCACACCTGCCTGTAACCAGGTTGTTATACAGTGGGACAGATGGGGAAAAATCATTGTGTTTGTTGCAGACAGTGACAGATGATGTTTCCCTTACCATAACCAAGAAGTTGCTTTAACCCAAACTATGATGCATCTCTTACTCACTAATCAAGTCATTTTGTACCTAAACCTAACCAAACTTTTAACCATAATGGCAAGAGATTTATTTTATTTCTTTAATGTTTTTGCACTGACAAAGTACTTGGAGTTCTTAACTATTAATACCTTGGCAGTGCAGTGTGGAAGGAATAACTGGAATAACTCCGTGTCTTTCACAACATCACTGTGAATATTTTCTCTGTGAGCTGCTCTCTGAAGTGTGAAACTGATACTCACCCCCCGAGGTCGGCGCCATAATCCTGCCTGAACAGCTGAGATTCATAAGCACAGGACCTCTTGCTGTTTTTACTGCTCCGAGTTCTTGCTGTGTTGAAAATGTTGTCTGAATTTATCCCCTGATAATCATGACGATGGTCTTGTCTCCTCCCCGTGTGTCTGTAGGGCAGCGTGAGGCCGAGGAGTCTGGCTGGGATCGGAGAGGGAAGAATTCACCGTCCCCGCGGTGTAGACGGACCCCCTGACTTTGGTCCCCTGAAGGGACAAGCTTGACTTTACGTAGACCGTTTTTTGCCGCTTCTCATTGGTTGTTGCGTCAGTTCATCTGTCCCAAAAGACGTTTCTTCCAGCTTCAGCTTTTTTTTTCTTTCCCCATGTCTCCTGGATTTGAGGTTCTGCCGGGAAAAAAAATAAAAAATTCAGGTGATGATGCCAAACTTTATTTTCCATCAGAAAAGTTGGAGAAGTTTTCAGCCTCCACAGCTTTAACAGCCTTTCAAGAAATTTGAGAGTCTGGATTGTTGAAAAGAGTCTGGTGGAGCCTTTTGGACAATTTAAATGGATGTTTGCTGCTGTGCCACCTTGTTGCAGCCTTATGGAAAACAGTGTGTGAATGTTGGTGTTTATCGTGGGATTCAGACACGTCTCCATGTAAATCAGGAGTCCTGCAGGGGAGCTGCATTCTAAACCACCTGGATGGATACAGAAGATTTACAAACAGAAAGAAACTGTTTTTTTAGATTTCTTGCAGGTTAACTTTTCTGATTCAATTATCAGATTTGTGACTATTCAGTAACTTTGAAATATATAGAGACTTTATAAATTAAAATGAATGTACCTTCAATATTTCAGAAAAGCACAAGATTTCTTTTAGTTGAATGCAACTCTAGCACGGCAGCTTTCTAATTTCCAGACACATAATTTGGACAAAAAGCATATATTTAATGCCCAGTTTCTGCTGTCACACCTTGAAAGTTTAACATCCTGTGATTTTATTTCACTCTAATCCAAGTGGAAAGCATCGGTTTTGGTGAACTAACGAGCTGCCTCCGCTGCTGTTTCCAAGGAAATTAACCTCATTATTAACTTTTTACATTGAAGTCCTTTGTGCACCTTCTTCTAGGAATGTATTTTTAATAATTTATGTATCACACATTTTATGTCCGATGTGTCTAATACTCAGACGTGTGACAGTTCTGTTCTGGAAAAGATGCAGATACAACTGAATCTATCTGTGTGAAGTGTTGAAATTTAAATCATCATCATTGTCTTTTTTTCTTAATGAAATGAATGCAAAAGCCATTTAAGTGACTGTTGAAATTTTGTATCTAAGTATGAAAGAACTGCCAATTTTAAACATACAAGTCACCGAACACAGATTCTTTTTTTTGTGATGATTTTGAACGATGTTGTTACTTTAACTGACTTAAATTCATCAGCATTCAAGTTAAGTGACTGAACTGTGGTTGCCAGAGAAGCTCTCTCTGATTGCCGTTGACACCCTTTATCACCTGCTTTTATTTTTTTTTAGTTCCCACCTTGGATTAAATCCTACAGGATGGCAATGACAGCATTTTAACTCACGCCACAGAATTACATAAATGTGCCAGAATTTGGCTTATTGACCCTGGAGAGTCGAGTCACAAGTTTCACGATTTCACAATAGCACCTAACGTGCATCCCATCTTGCGCTTCTGAAATCACCTCTTCCGACCTCGGGGGGGGGGGGAGGAGGGGGGGGACGACGACTCTCAGCCCGTCCCATCACCGCCATGGTGATGTCTCAGGGGACCTACACCTTCCTGGCCTGTTTTGCCGGCTTCTGGTTGGTCTGGGCCGCCATCGTCATGCTCTGCTGTTTCTGCAGCTTCCTGCAGCGCAGACTGAAGCGTCGCCATGAGGAGAGGCTGAGGGAGCAATGCCTGCGAACTGTAGAGATGGAGCCACTCAGCTGTCACCCCACAGGATACCCGCCTCTTCCTCCTCCTCCGCCCCCACCACCACCTCCACAGCTGCCCAGGGAGCCACCGCAATTCTGCCCTCCCCAAACCCTGTCACCGCCTGTTCCTCTTCAGGTTCCTCATCCCATGCCGCAAGCAAACTGGGTCACCTTGCCAGGTAATGTTGCATTTATTTGTTTTCTTGTTCTGTGCATCATTGTTGATTTTCCTTCCTCCAGAAGTCACAACAACATGATGTGAGCCCTGCTGTGTCTTTTCTTTAGACGGTTTCAGCAGATTCAGGGTTGTGGATCTCCACAATTTTTCATGCAGTAGTTTGTGTACTGTTGAATTGTTCTTCTAATAGTTTTGAACTATTTTATTATGAAATATATTCACCTCCACTCTCAGTGTGAAATGCAAGCAAAACCTTGTCACACAGTACTGAGCGAGATTGTAACACTGTTTAAAGTTGTTATGCTGATATTTCGTTCTCTGGCAGTTTGGTAACATATAAAAGAAGAGGAGGTGGGAGAAGGCGAGAGTTTGAGTCAGTGTGTAAGGCTGTGGTTTTTCCTCGAAAAACCTGCTACTGTGTACCTGGTGCAGATCCAGTACACGCTGAAAAAATCTCTAGTGACACAGGACTAAATTGGAAGCAAGAGAGAATGGATGGTTGTAGGTTTGATTTGCGGCCGGTATTAGAAGTGGAAATTAACATTCTGTGAATCAGATCACTTTGTTTAAAGGTGCCGTAGAATGGAAAACTGTATTTTCCTTGGCATAGTTGATAAAAAGAGTTCAGTGCATGTAACTGACACACTGTGAGCCTCAATCTTCTTGATTCCTCCTTCATATGTAAATCTTACAGATCCAAAATACGCTAGATGTTACGTAACATATGGGATGTTTACGCCCCCACAGTTACATAGACCAGCCCACGTTCTAGAGTGGCGGTAATTCAAGCTCACAGCGCTAAAGCTGTAGGTTGTGCAGTGTGTCTCACAGAAAGTGCTTTTACAGTTATGAAGGAAAGGTAAATATTTTCTAGTTTTCTCTCTGATGTCCTCTGGCTGCTCTGCCTCAACTCTGTGATTAATGAAGTTTCCTGATGGACAGATAGCTTTACATGTTGCTAATGCCACAGGTTGCTAACCGCTAGCTGTTTCTTGTGGCTGGCTCTGAACCAGCGGTCCAAAGCTTCTGTACTAATATTAGAGGTGTGAACACAAACACCCCCTTGGAGAACCAAGTTTCCAGTCGGGGCAGAATCAGTAATAGGACGGCTAGCTGCACGGCTAACTGAGTAGATAACTTAGTAGAAGCTGCTATTAGCAGTAGTTAGCTGCTGAAGTAACCTGTAACATATAACAAACAACCCTCAAGTCAACATGTGACCAACCAAAAACTATTTGTTTGGAACTGCGCACAAGCAAATCCAGCTGTCTTTGTCTTCAAGATATTCACCTCCTATTGTGAATGAAACAAACGTCGGTAGCCACGCAGCACGGTGTTTTCCTGTCAGCATTCAAACTACTGCATCCATTAGTCTCAAAACCAAAGTCTTCTCTTGAGCAGAAGATTAATCATCTTCTCTACTTCTGAGAATAAAATTATATAACATTACTGACAAATACCAAACCTGTCACATCTTATTTTCTCTTTGTTTATAGACCGAAAGCATATTTCAGTCAGACTCAAGACATAATTTGAACTCAGTCTTTCAACAACAAAAAAATACAACAAAGAATAAATGAATTCACATCGTTCATATGAGCAATTCAGATGACAGAAAAGCAGAGGACAGGAGGAGGATTACATTGTGCACTGTGTCAGAATTTTTTTAGACTCTTCGGTTCGCAGCTTCTCCCTGCCTGCCGGGCAGCGTTCCCCCGCGGGGCGTCATGGTGACAGCTGCTGCTGAGGCGTAGGTGGTGACTGCGGAGGCTGAGCGGTGAGGGAGCGAGCGCAACAACATGGCTGGGCTAAACTAAAAGAAACGGATGAGGAGAAAGTCAATCTAAGGGAGGGAGTAGAGTCAGCAGGAGCACAGCTGTGCGAGGGGGGGCTTCCCCCCGCCACCCCAAGTCTCTATCTTAAAGCATAGTTAAGATTTTCTTATAGGCCTATGTACGTCCATATTGGCCATGAAGCCTTCCCATCCTAATTACCTTGTAAGAAATGGGGACCTTGTTCTGTGTAAAATGGATTCTTAATTTCAGCTAATTAAGCTTCAACAGTCTGAGTTAGCCGAATCAAGTTGGTATCTTCGTCCTGATCATTTGCAGGGGGGGGATACAGAAGCGGTGTTAGCCAGCATGTTGTCATTCCCAGGGCATCAAATAGCTACGCTTTGTCACATACTTCGGCGTCTGGAACCAACGCACATGGCAACGTTTTGCATGACAGTTCACTGCACTGAGGGAAGCCCTTTAGTGTAACAGTAAACGCTAAAAGTAGGCCTACTATAAACAACAGAAAAGTCAGAGTAAGGATGTGGTTGTGGTGGATTGGTGGGTCAAAAACCGGCTAGGTCATCCAGTAAGCCACTGTTCATTTCTTGTGTGGGAAAAAAAAAAAGAGTCAGCATTGACAGGTCAAGTAAGTTACGTCGCCCAAACGATGATATTTTCCTAAACCTACTAAGTAGTTTTGTTTCCTAAACCTAACCAAATTGCGACATTTCACGTTTACTGCTATTTTTATTTTGAAAGTCTTAACTGGACGATGCTGGATTTATTCTTGTTAACTTGAGAGAGGAGCCATATAAACACAGAAATGATGCTCAAAGCGAAGCCAAAGGGTCTGGACTTCAACGTGTCTATGTTCTTCATCGATTGCTTTTTATTATTGTTATTGCAGCCACAGACTGACCCTGCAGGTCACTGAGCTGCTCTACTTGTGCAGTTGGCAGTCAAGTGCCTTTCTCAAGGGCACCTCAACTCTGCAAATTCCAAAAAGGAGTTTATCCTTTCCAACATTACACAACTTTGCAGTCCAGCACACTTCCTTTTTTCCCCACCCCAAAATCTTGCAAATTGCTTCTGAGCCCAAGGTCAGTGTATACAACAGTGAGTTTTGCTGGCAGAGGTAAACACAAAGCGACTTCTCAGTTCTCTCAGCTTAATTTTTAAGCTTGAAATAAGCTTCCACCACTTGAATTGTAAAGAAATCTGAAATGACAAAAAGTGCAACTGAAGTGAAAAGTATTGTCAGTGCTGCACAGCATTAGCATAAAGTAAAAGCACAGGCATATGGCAGTGGAGGATGAAATGAAAATCCTCCACGCTCTAAGTGACAATAGCGCATTGACATGTACAGCAGATTTGCTCTTTACAGAGGAAAAACAATAAAACAAAAAGCAACTAAGAGAAGAATTAGAAAGCTTTGATGGAGGAGGAACAGCGTAAATGACAGAATCAAATCCTTCAAAAAAAGAGGGATGAGGCAAAGAGAGGTTATTGGAGTGTAAAATGAAAACTGGAGTGAGTAAAAGAACATCAGCTGCTGTCAAAGATGGTTAATGAGCACAGACAGACAGTAAAGGATAAAACAAAAGGTTGCTGGAGTCTTGGTCACAAAGCAGACTGATGAAGAGGTTTAGTATCCAGGCAGCAGCAGAGCTAAAAGAGAAGCAGGTGCCGACCAGCTGAGCGCGACGGGACGGAGAGAGGAGCCAGGAGCTGTTTCAGTTTAATATACGAGAGGGGAGAGAGGAACGTGGAGATGTGGATTTCACTTGTACCCAATTGGGCATCGTGGGAAAATTAGATAGCTTTGCAGTATATAAAAAAAGCCAAGCGTAAATGCAACTAAGAAGCTTTAGAGATGGGCTGATAACTCACACCACTAAAGCTCACTAATTAACACACTGTATCTTATTCGATTAACCGCTCAGTTGACAGTTTATTAGAGAGACCTAGCTAAAACTAAAGCAACAGCCCTGCAATAAATCCTGCCTTCATAAAGGCTATAATTTCCAGATTTACCTAATAAACTGAATTTAAAAGGAACTTTAAAAGGAAAAAATGAGAATTAGGTTTTAGAAGACCATTTCTCTAGGGACCTTTTTAGCCCCTTTTAGCACATTGTTTTGATTTCACAGCACGTTTACTGTTTGGTTCGGTCTCAGTTCTCTTATCAATCCTGGTTTCTAGCTGCAGGCTGCTCTGATCCACAAATGAGCTGTGATAAACTCACCGTGCTCTACTTGCCCAGCACCAAACAGTGACACCAACCAAGTTGGATGTAAAAAAATAACAAGACCAAGAATCTACAGTCACGCTACTGGGTCTATGAGGGTGTACCTAGGCTTTTAGTTAAATGCTAATATCAGCATGCTAAAGCCCCTTTTCCACCTGATGGTATCAGCTCAACATGCCTCGACTCGCCACATGAAACACACTTGACGTAATCTTGGTGGTGGTTATTCGGCTCCTGGTAGAACGGTCTCTAGGGACCTTTTTAGCCCCTTTTAGCACATTGGTCAGTTGCTGAAGGAATCCTAAAACCTCACTGAACACCTAAACCGCGCTAACAGCAGCTCAGCTGTTAACACACCGCAGGACTAGCTGCACTAGCTAGGTTATTTCTGAAATGCATTTGTTGACAATTCTCTCTGACCAATCAGTAGCCTGCTGTGTTTTCATGTCACTTTTTGGTGTCACCTCAGCTCGCTTGGAACCTCAACGGAGGTGAAACCAAAAAAAAAGTACCAGGTACCAGATTTCCCCAATGGAAAACCAAAAAAGTAGAGTCAAGGCGAGTTGAGCTGGTACTCATAACGATAATGCACACAATGCTGATGTTTAGGAGGTGTGGCTGTAGGGATCCTTTCTATGATAACAATCTGAGTCTGTCAGGGGCAAAACAAGCACTTTAGTGGACGCACTTTGACAGAACACAACTGACCTTTTGCTAAGCCACGCCTCAGACACGTGGCTGGCCAATCGCAGCGCAGTATAGGACTCGCTCTAACTGAGGTCCAACACTTTCATGGCTGAGCTGCATTGAATCTAATGCAAAAGGCGTTGTTTCCTAGCTTTCTTTTGCTGTATTTTTCTAAGATCTTGTCAACGTATGTCACATAATAAAGCCCTACTGTTCTGCTTTTTAATTATTGTAATAGTGAATAGAGGCCGACCCAGCTGTACAAGAACAATGTTTATCCTTAATATG